ACGCGGTCAACACTTAGGGAAATAATCTTTTCATATTTCCTGTGAGGCTCATTCTTGCATATAGAAGCTCCGTTGCTCTAGAGTCTTTGGCCAATGCGCCCCCCGTAGCGTCGGTAGGCGAAGATGCAGAAAGAAGAAAAGAAGAGTAAGAAAAAAACACAAAAAAAGAAGATGCACACCATCCTGCTGTGCTTGCAAAATTGATATCTATCGCAAAAGTTGCCGGATGGGCTCCTCAGGGCTATTTCAACTCGTGCTGTACCTGCAGCTACACACTTTCTGCACTCATATCGCTGTACGTTTCAAGCATCCGGCCACCCTGGACCTCCACATACGTCCACATTCTACATGTACTCTGGGCCTCTCGTGGCCCCCTCGACATGACCTGGAATTTCAGGTTAGGATGTATGCATGTATGCATGCATGTATGTATGTACCGGGTATCAATGCCAGGCATGTGGCTCACGGCCAGGAGCCGTAGAAACATTTTTGGAGGCCAGCGACACAGCTGGAGTTCTGCAGCTACTACATCTTGCCCGACTCTGGCTCGCTTCCCAACGAGATTCTCTTTCGGTTTGCAGGTGTTGGGTTGGGAAGTGAAGTTGTGCAGCCCCTGCAATCTTGTTGGTGTGCAGGTTTCGCCGCGTTGTGCTAAAGCAAGCTCAGGCAGTGATTTTTTTAAATGCAAGTGAAAGTTTGCATGTAGTCACTCGCCATGGCTTGGGTGACCAAGAGTGAACGGTGCCGGGCTCAGCTGCATTTGTTCGGAAGTGTTTTGCATCTTATATAATTTGGTATGGTTGGTTACTTCTCCAGTTGTATCCATACTCAGACGAAGGACCGAAAGGAGGCATGATGGAATCATAGCTACAGGGTTAGTTTGGCGACAAAAGACTAAAGAATCCGTCCTGCTATTTCTGCGAGGATGCACTAGGATAGCCTGCATGCTTTTGTTTGGACTTTGACTTCCGGGGGGTGTGTGCCGCAGCTCAGACCTGCGCAGAAATCGCAGAAAGTCAGCAAAGATCCTGGAGTATTCATGAAGCTAGCAGCTAGCAGTAACGAAAAAACTGGATGACGTTCCCAAGACTGGCACCCTTCAAGTACCTGGCCTCGTTCGAGGTTTGGCTGGGAAAGGGCCAAGCTGGTCGAGGACCCTAAGGACCATGTCGGCCCGGCACTCAGCATCTTAGTCGAGACTGATAGACTTGGTCCTCTCTTCCTGCAGCAACATCCGGTTGTGCTGCTTATTTTTTGCCCTACAGTACAGTACAGCCGAACATGAAATGCGAGAAGCTGACGCTGGAGCAAAGCCGGACCAATCGAAGGCGATATTCCGCCCGCAGGAACCATGCGGGAGAGTAGACAGCTGAATACTTAGCCCGGGGTCCGCGAGCTTGCGTTAGGTCTTCTTCGGGTAGCGGAGACACACCCGACAGCTTTTGGAAAGGCGATCGGAGCCTAGATCCACCCATGCGCCGAAAGAAATCCAAGAAAGGCCCTGGCCAATATGCGGCGCCGACATCCTTCAAAGAGGCCCGCTTCAGATTTTGAAGGGACGTCGTAGCCGAGGTTGGAGGTTTGATGTGCTTCAGAACGGTTTCTTGATTCTAGTTGCCTGCCCAGTACGCTTCGACACGAGTGGGATCTGCCCCATGGCCCCTGAAACTTACTATGTGTAATGCCCCTTGGCTGTTGCTCTGCTGGTCATCCGAAGGCACCGAGACCGTCCTACGCAGCCTTCAACTCTTCGGGCAGCGACGCGCAGGCCCGGAGCCGTTCCGGCCCTGAGCGATTCGTGAGCCCGAAGGCTTCGAGTCAGAGGGTTTCTTGGTGTTTTCCGTGCCTTGCAGCATTCTTCTTGATTTGTTCAATGTATCGGCACAAGTACCAGGAAAGCGAGGCTTTCCTCTCAGAAAAAGCTCTGCGATCTATGAGCACAAGGATCTGAGTCTTCGGGCCAGCCATGACGCTCTCTTCCCAGATCCTCGTCCTGAAGGTGGGCACCTCCACCATCATGCGATCCGACGAGCGCGGCCAGCGCGTGAACGTGGCGAACCTGAGCCGCCTCGTGGAGGTCATCAGTGATTTGGGCCACCAGGGCTACAAGGTGGGTCTGCTAAAAAAAAAAGTTAGTTGGGTAAGGGACCAAGGAGCCCCACAATAGAGCAAGGATGGGTAGGTCGGGCATCGGATGGTGTCGGGTCAGTGCGCTGCAAGGTCGTCCTGGTGTCCTCCGGGGCCGTGGGCATGGGATGCAGAGAATTGGGGCTGGCGAAGAAGCCGACGGACCCTCAAATGAAGCGTGCCGTGGCCGGTGTAGGTCAGAGCCGTATCATGCGCATGTACTCCGAGCTGTTTGAGACCGTCGGCCTCAAAATCGCGCAGCTTCTCGTGAGTCAGCGAGATTTTATGGAGCAGCAACGCTGGGCAGAGATCCGGGACACCATAGCAGCCTGCCTCGATGCGGGCGTCGTTCCCATCATTAATGAGAAGCTTGGCTGGGAACGGATTTTGAGCTGCCAGGTCTTGACGGAAGGTTTGCCCACAGAATTCGTCAGGCTCTCTTCATTCTGCTTATGAATATGCATCCCAGGAATGATACTACCAACACGGACGGCGTCCGCTTTGGGGACAACGACAACCTGGCGGCTCTCACCGTCACCTGGTTTTGTGAGGGAAGACCCTCAAGCCCAAGAGGATTCCTGAAGCCTCGCTGAAACCGAGCGAATGAAGCCAATGCCCCTCACCGTGTCAACCCCGCGATCTCTAAGCTGCTCAGGCCGTGCAGCTGGAAGCCGAGGGTGTCTTCCTGTTCACCGATGTCGACTACCTGTACACGGTCCGCTGCCTTATGGTAGGTTTGTCCACGCGAGCCTCTGTTCTTGGATCTTTCGATGCCCCAATTTCCCCTGTCACATCTTCGTTTTGCTGCAGCTTCGGTGGCATGCCTGATTGCACCTGTGCTGTCTGCTCCGGTACGGCTTTTGCGCAGCTTCATTTTGATAGGCTGGGCTCCAAGCAGATCGGCGAAACTGTAAATTGCAAAGCGTTGGGCCTTTCCGGTGTTGCTGACCTCAGGCGAAGAGATAACAAGCAGAAAGAAGGACGACGAACACAAAGCACCGAACACGACGACGACCACGAACAGCGGAAGTGTTATGAAGACGGATCGGCAAAACTACTTCAACCTCCCCTCTGTAGCCCAGCTCCCGAAGCGGGAGAGGCCGAAGCCGGCCGAAAAAGGCAACCAGGTCTCAAGCTTCAAGCCATGAGAAAATCTTGTTAAAACTCGAAGACGAAGCCTGACAGGTTCAGAGGGCTTTCTCGGGAAATCTGAGGCCAACCCGAACGTGGATCCATCTGCCGAGCCCATGCGTATAGTCAGCGAGGTGACCTGGGTGGGCATTTTGCTGTTCTTGGCAGGTTGGACAGAACCCTAAACCCTAAACGGCGAAGGTTCCGCATTTCAGGGTTTCGGGGTCTTCAGGCGGCCCACGGAAGCAGGTGCCATTTGCTTCAAACTGCTTGGCATTTCTTAAACTTGAGAAGGCAAGGAAGGGAAGACATTCAGACGATCAGTAGTCAGGTAGGCCCAGAAGCCTTGCCAGGCCTTTGAGCTGAACGTGGACACGCGGGAACCGGGGTCTTCCCTCGGCACCGGCGGCATGTCTACCAAGGTGACGGCTGAATTGCGTGCCAAGCGCTGGGGTCGACCGTCGTTTTCGCTGTCGCACGGTTGCTGCAATGTACTGGTGCTGCAGTTCGTTGAACATATCAGCCGGTTCGACAAAGAACGGGAGCATGTGCACGTGCGTGCATGCATAATCATGCATACATGAATACATGCCTCATGTGTATGCGTATGCACATGTTCATCTATGCGGCGCTGACACATGTCAGTCTGAGTCTGTACCCCGGCCCCACAGCTGTCTGTCCGCCTGTTGGTCAAGAGGAGGCCATTCCCTTGAGATGTCGGGACAATCGATTCCTCTATGGCTTGTAGGCTTTTCATGCATTCCTTTTGTGTTTGGGAACACTACTATTGAGAAGGCAAGTGCATTTCGCCATCTCTCAAAATCAATGATACTGGAGGGTCGGACCCGCAGGTGTCAGCAGCTCGAACGGCGCATTGTGCTGGCATCCCATGTGGGATTTTGCACGGCAAGCATCCGGAGCGCCTCTTCAGCTTCCTGACCCACGACGAGACTGCCACCTGCCTGCGCTCTAATATTGACAGTTCCGGAAGTATAGTCGCAAGAGTGGAATTCGCATTCGCCGAGGCCTCCACCCACAGCGGACGGAGCCCACTGGAGTCGGACACCCTCAGCGAGCAGGACATGGAGCACATGGAGCCTGAGCCAGAGGGTACTCTCTTCGCGGCCGAGGAAGGGGAGCAGTTGTCAGAGGCAGAGAGGTGGATCCTAAGCCTGCCCGTGGTTGGAGATGTGGACCTCTCCGGCTCGCATGCCACAAGCGACCTACGTGAGTTCGTCCTTGATGCCGTAGCCGGTGCCCTGGGGAGCCTCAAGAGCTTGTCGGGTACGGCGCATCACGGCGGGGTTCGGGTCTTTAACCACAACGTGGAGATTGCCAGGACCCGGGTGAGTTTTGATGAGGACGGGGCCTGTAGCCTGTCCAGCCTCATAGCGGAGGAGAGTGTGGTTCTGACGCCGGTGGCAGAGCATCACACTGCCTGAAGTGTCTAGCAGAGTCCAGCATCGGTTCTATAATCTGTATCTATATCTTCTGGTGGCTCGTCGTGCGGATTGGAGCTGCGACTCCTATCATCGCCCAGTATCGCCATATGCTGGAGACAAGCCACCTTTGCTCATTTTGAGCAACAATCTGTTTTTGTGTACAGGACTCATTGCGAGCAAGGATGCCGGGATGGGCAACCTCCGCCGCATGATTTCGGGCGCATGTCACTATACACCCATCAATCCCCCACTGTACAGATCCTATGAGTGTGTAGACCGTGCCGTCCACAGCTGTCAGAAATTCTTGACAGCTTGCCAATAAATCCTGGCATGGTTGGGGCATGCATAAACACAACTTACCCATGCATGAGACTCAGAACGACTCGGCAGATACTGCCCTCAGAGCCCGGCTCAGAGGGCGGAGCCTGGGAAAATCATGGTGCTGCAAGCCTTTCTTCGCCAGAGCACCTTGAAGCATGGTAGAGCACGACGACTTGCCGCCGTTCAGGGACTCTTCGAAGGGAACAAGGACAATTCGTGCTGCGCTTGGATGCGGCCACGGGCCGTCCACAGCTGTCGAAGTGTTTTCGCTTTCTTGTCGTTTCTGCCCAGCCTGGGACTGGATCCTGCTCGCTATGACCCGAAGTTCCCCAGAGGCGCGGCTTCGGGGGCTCGCGGCTTGTGCAGTGGCTCGCATCCGCATTCTGTTGGAAGTCCCTGACCAGCCTATGACCACGGCCTGCCGAAGAAGCACATCCCCTTCACCTCTGGGTCCACCCGCTTTGACCACAGGGGCAAGAAGGCATGGCCCAAGCGCTTCGGCGCTGCTTCAAAGGTGCGAGGCCTCAATGTTCAAAAGACTCAAAGAAAGCAGGACTACCGGCCTGGTCCCGGTGACTACAACGCCGCGAAGCAGACGCTTGCGGGTGCGTTGACAGTGTCTGCCGCGAAGACCATGGGGGTTGCGCCAGTTGGGCTCCCGGAGTGGGGCGTCTCCGCAAAGACAGATCAAGGTTCTTTAACTTGGCTGTTGCCAGCAGTTTGCAGACTTAGTGAACAGCAGTTCCGAGGCAGAGCAGCGCTTGCTCTTCAAGTCTACGAGGTCTTTCAGAAACAGCGGCATGTCGCGTCTGCTTTCACGTAAGGGGCCACTGATGGAGCTTGTGCTTTCCCATTCCTGTCCTCTGTCAGTGCGCCCTCCATCCCGCGAGACCATCAGTGCTTTGGCTACGACGAGGCTCCAGCCGGGTTTACAGAGGTTTCTTCCATCGTCTCCCTCGTAACGAGTTTCTGTTTGCCTCCGGTACTGACACGGTACTGCGCAGTCGGATGAACCCTGAGGTAGACAACCCCGAGACCAAGCCATCATGCCCCTTTCACTCAAGTCTTCTGGACAGCAGAACCAGCCTTTAACAAGAAGACTAATGATGAAACACGCACTAGAAGGCTCTGGTGGCTGGGCGGTGGGTGGTGGCCTTGAGAGGGTGTTGTGTCGGCAGTGGCGATGGTGGCGGTGGCGGCGGGGTGGTGGCAGTGGCGGCGGCGGCGATGGTTTTACTGGAAGTGGTTATCGTCATCATCATCACCATCAAAGATGTCATCATCAGCACCATCCTCATCAGAAGCAGCATCTCCCCCTGCATCATCACGATGCTCTTGTTTTCTTGTTGCTGTTGTTTGTGTTCATGATGATGATGGTGATGATGATGATGATGATAATGACGATAGCGATGGTGATGATAGTGATGATGACGATGACGGTGACGGTGACGATGTTGATGATGGTGATGATGATGATGATGATGATGGTGTTGATGATGATGATGATGATCTAGTGGTAGGGCTCGTGGCGCTGCTCGTGACGTGTTGTTTCTGATGCAGCTGCTGTTAATGATTATCTTGACCACCGACAGCATTATCGACATCTTGTTATCAGCATGTATCAGCAAGCATGGCAATAAGTAGCAAACGACTCAGCGCGAGCAGCAGAGTAAAACAATACCAGGTAACGCATGCCTTAACGACCACGGTCCGTGGCAAAAACGAGGTACACTTGGGGTTGTGTGCACTTTTTTGACGAAAAGGTTTGTTTTGGATGCTTTCAAAGTACCGGTTTTACCAGGGTTTGGTGTGTCTATCCTTCCGAATGCGAATGGCGCAGCCGACTAAGGTCCGTCGACAGCTGCTTTGGAGTATTGAGACGGAACATGCAAGAAGAGCGATGATTATGACGGTGATGATGATAGTAATGACAATGATGATGATGCTGATGCTGATGATGGTGATGATGATGATGATGATGATGATGGCCGGCATATTGATGATGTTCATGGGGATGGTGGCGAAATGCATGTCATTAATCCCCCCCCTCCCTGGCTAAAACAAGCAATAGTGGGACCAGCACTACTGACAGGAGCTGAACTGGGCTGTAACAAAGGTAACGACCATTTGACTGCAGGCTGGTGATGGCCGGCTGATCCGACAGGGCCGGAAAGACGGCATCCAAGAGCTCACCGGCCCGTGGCCCAGATGGTGATTGGCGGCTTACTCTCGGGTGCCTGGCATTCTCCCGGCATTGGGGTGGCTTGAGCTTCAGAGTTTCAGGCCTCGAGGATTCGCAGCATGATTTCGGGGGCAGGAAGTAGGGTTTTGGCTTGCCGGAGTCTTTCACGCTTTGCTGTGCATTTCTGCAGTGTTCGATGTAGTGTGCAGAGAGAGACAGCGAGAGAACGAGAGAGAGAGAGAGAGAGAGAACCGCCAGTGTGCCGGCCTGCGATCTTTTTTAATGCGCTTGTTACTCTGCAGCCGGACTCGCGAGTATCGGCGGGTTGCGGCGACTGTGGCTTTGCCCTCGCGATGGTTGGTAGAGTTTGGCTGCCACGAGGGCATGACTACTGCGCTGCTTGCGGAGCGAACTCCTCTTCTGTTGGGCATTGACCGGAGCTCACATGCCGTGCGAGCGGCTGCGAGCCGCTTTCCAAACCTCCGTTTTGGAGTCGCCGATGCGCTGGACAGCGGCATGCATGAGCTGGAGAAGCATCTCCGGACGCATGGGGCTGCCGTATCGGATGTCACGGCCTGTTTCTTGGACCTGGGGGGCGATGCCCGCTTGAGCGCAATCTTGTATGCCCTGGCGAACCTGCAGCAGCTAGAATCTCTTCAGCTCTTGGTCGTGAAAAGTGAGGAGATGGTTCGGCTCAAGAAGAATACAGACATGCTAGCTCGAACGATTTCGGGTGAGATCACCGCTGCTCCTCAGACAAGGCCACGAAGCCCTTGAGGTGAACGAGGATCACAGGGCAAATGCTTGGTCTCACTGAGTTCGCTTATCGTCTGCTCAAAGGCGATCAAGGAAGCTACGCTGAAACAGAGACTTGATCCTCCGGATGTAGTTCGCAAGAAGGTCAAAATTCAACCTACAGCTGAGGAAGGATTTAGGGCGCAGCCGACACTGCCCAAGGTCCCCCGAGAACGTTGGGAGCTTCGGTGACCGGATGCGACGTTCATCAATCACGATCGGACACACCACAAGTATCAGTTCAGTCTGGTGAAAATGTGCATGGAGGTCAGCCGCGAGAATATCGAATGAGAATGATGAGTTGGAAAACAGTTTCACCAAGCAGCACTCTGCAACTCCAGGATCTCCTGTACGTACAGAATGGTGCAGGACCGAAGGGCCAATGACAAAGCCATCCAGGAGCCGCCGACGGATCTGCCTCACTGATTGCCAAAAAACTGTTACGAAGAATGCACAGGTCACGCCGACTCCGAAGCCCCTTCAGTTGGAGAAGCTCTCTGATGAATTGGATACACCTGAGAAGGGGGAGCAGATGGGTGACATGTTCATCAAGACCGGGGTAGGGTCGTTCTGTCCCACGATCCCACAAGCTGAGAATACGATGTCTTTGCTACTTTGCGGTTCTATGGGGCTGGAGGCTTGTCCCGATCCCTTCGCCGAACTCAAAGCTACATTGAGATGGATCTTCCGGAGAGCGATAAGTGCCCCCACCTTGGAATCATTCCCCAGCAGTCTGCAGCTGTTGGAAAGTGGCTAGTCGCTAGCCTTCCTTGGACCGAAGATGACTGCCTCGCGGAAAGTTTTGCGGCTTGTCGGTGCTTTGTTGGTAGATTACTTCCCCTGGAGCCGTGATTGGCATGGCCTGCAGTGAGCCTCTCGTCCTTCTTGATCGAAACTCCGCTTGAGATCGGTCATCCTCCAACGGTTTGAGGTCGGCTTACGTAGTCGCCCGCAGAGGATGGATTTCCTCCCCTCAATATTGTTAAGATGGGATCTTCCCTCCTTTTCTCGATCGCCGGTGGTTGACCTCCCCTCCAAGCCGAAGGCAAGCCGGGTGATAGCGCCGGGCCTGGACACTACGATGTGACCCAGGCAAGGACCACGGCTCGGAGATGTTGGAGCTCCTTCCGAGCATAGCGGTGCTGCTCTTGTGACTGTGGAAGAATATCACCTGTGCAATGCTTCCAGTGCCAGGCCAAAGGCATTGCCAACGGGGCCAAAGGTGGCAGAATTATGCCGTCCCGGCCTCGTTATGTCTTCCAGCCGTCACAGGAAGCTCTCTCAGATCGATCTGCAAACCCCCAGTGACCCAATGACGTCAGACCTCATCACTGGATCCTGAACCCCAATATCCAGAGTCCCCCTAAACCCTAAACCCTAAGAGGGCCCTAAACCCCAATTTCCGGACCCCCTAAACCCTAACCTAAAAGGGCCCTACACCCCGAGATGCACGCGAAGCTGAGGCCTTCATTCGACCCCGCCGCGAAACCCTCCGAAACGCCAGGCCCAGGTCATTACATCGCAAAGGCCCCGGTCCTGCATCCCATCATAGGATTTAGGGTTTAGGGTTTAGGGTTTAGGGTTTAGGGTTTAGGGTATAGCATATAGTATGGTATGCAGTATCGTATAGTATACGGTATGGTAATACCAGACTAGACTGTACTGTTGAAGAATACGAGAGAAGGGAATATTCATCGCTCTGTGTGTTATTGCACGACGGATCTGAACTCCACAGAGCGCGAGCGCAGGCCTTCGGCAAGGAGACTGAGAAGCCCATCTACTCGTCTTTCGCCTCGCAGTCAGAACGAGAGCCAGCCTGACAGGTTTTGCGTAGTATAGTATAGCATATAGTATGGTACACAGTAATTATAGTATATGGTACGGTATGCAGTCTAGTATAGTAGAGTAGAGTAGAGTATAGTATAGTAGCATAGAAGAGTGCAGTCTACAGTCAAAAGTCAGAGGTCTAGAATCTATAGTCTATAGTCTATCGTCGATAGTCTTTCGTCTGTAGTATAGCACAGCATAGCATCGTACAGCGTAGCATATTATAGTATAGTATGGTATTATAGTCGGTTCCCTGCTGCAGTGTCATTCGATTCATGCGAGCTGCCAGTCCGAAGTCGGAGAAGAAGGGTGTCGAGATGCCTGGGCCCGGGCAGTACTACTCCAGCAGGCCGTCGTCGCGCACACAAGTTTCGCAAATTCACAACGACGAGTGCTGATGGTGACGACAAAAAACTACAGCAACTTAGTACAGGTGCCCATGATGACTGCTCTCGGCATCGAATCTTCCAGCCTGCAGGCCGTTCAAGCGTGCGACGCTGCGGGAAATGCATCCGGAGCCCGCCGGGAACGTTTAGCCTCTGCTCTTCTGTTGCGCGGATAGTGATGAGATTGGTGTGGGGCCCAGAATGCGGCATGATGCTTTCGGATGGAGGCCTACAATTTTGCTGTTTCGAAATGGCTAGTTTACGGATCAGGCTTGAGGGTTTTTGGGCCGGAGGGTGCGGTTGACAGTTGACTTCGAGAAGATCTTTCGGCCGGGAGCTCTCAGGCGTGAATCTCTGGATTCTCGAGTCCGAGCATATGAATTGGCCCCAAAGTACCCATATAGGGACTACATTAAGGCCAAAGTATATACTATTTGGGTACATCCATGTCAGAGGTTGTTCGGGTCTCCTGCTGAAGCCAGGCTCCAATCGCTCGTTCTCTTTGCTTCTCTCTCTCTCTCGCCCGGTCTTTGTCTCCCTTGCGACTTGTAGGAGCTGCAGTACTTCGGAAGCACGGCGGAACGCTTTCCCGAGGCTGGATTGTTGGGAGTCGGGATCACAAGGCTTCAGTGGCTAAGCCTGAGGAGCAGGAGGAGAGGAGGAATAGGAGGAGTAGGAGCAGTAGGAGCAGTAGGAGAAGTAGGAGGAACACGACCAGCAAGGAGGAAGCGGAGTCGGAGTAGGAGCAGGAGCGGGAGTAGGAGGAGCAGTGAGAGAAGTGAGCAGCAACAGAAGCAGAACGTAGAAGTAGTTTGGCTCCGCTGTAGTGACAGTGGTACCGACATGACCAGCTTTTGGTACAGGTTTCAGAGTTTCCGCTTCAATGGAGCTGGGGCGAACACGTCCTAGGTGGTCAAAGAACCATCCTAACCCCACAGTGAAAGCACGAAGCCGTTCGACATATCATCAAGAGCCTCAAGCCCTTTTGCCCCAACCCGACGCGACAAAACCCCAACCCAATACGATCACTGTAATTACTGTAGTAATACAAAGAAGAGTATAAATAACATTAACACTAGTAGTGATAATCGTATTCTTATTGCTATGATTCGTTATTATTGCGATTCTTATTACGAATATTCCTGCTACTAGACGGAACACGATTGCTACTCCTACCGACTCTCAGGGCGAGGCTGTGGTGGTCGCGAGCCAAACTCCGGGCCCGGGCCAGTACGGTGACGTGGACTACCGGAAGAAGGACGGGGCCTGACTTACTGGTGCTCAAGCAGGTTTAAGGTTTCGGGTTTTAGGGGGTGGGAGAGAGTGGATTAGATGCCGAAAACGTTCCCTCATAGTAGTAGGCTGAGCAAGAGCATGGCGAGCCGATCAGAATTAGGAGCTTCCGCTGGAATGAGGCCAAAGAGAATCCCGAGATTTCATCAGTCAGTGTTGCAAACATGAGCATGGCAGGCACAATACCAGGCAACGCTTTGGACAAACAGTTGGGGATGATGCAGATACCGCTGCAACCAGAGCAACAACTACCATTACCACTGCTACTACCAATGCGCTGCTGGTGGAGGTGGTACTGTTGCTACAACACCAGCAACTACTGCTACAGCTACTGCGGCTGCCGTTGCCACTTTCAGATTCTACTGAAGGGAGGGAGCTTTTTGGGGGCCCTAGAGTCGCATGATGAGTTTTGAGCAATACGGGTGCTCAGCCCCCAAACCCCCTTTGCCCAATCCTAGACCGTCAAGCTGCACAGAGACATTGAAGAGGGCCACTCTGATTGCTACAGTCAGTCAGGATCAATACAGCGGTTTCTGTCAACTGCTTCTCCACCGGTTGGCTTCGGCTGCATGCAGTAGATGTATGCAGCTACTTGCATGACACGGCAGGCTTCGAAGAGTTTCGCCTGGCAGAATGGAAAGCGCTTCCAGGACATTCGGTGCCCCAGTCTACTGCCGCTGCAGGTGCTACAGCTACTGTTGCTGCAAAGTCGTGATGGCAGTAGTAGTGGTAGCAGTAGCAGTAGCAGTAGCACTGTGAAACCAGTTTGCAGTTCCAT